GGCATGAGTGGGGAGGTCGGGGGGCAGTGGGGGGATAAGGTCACATATGTAATACCTTAATCAATAAAGAAAAAAAGAGAAGTATTAACACATGATGATTTTAGGTTACCCTATATTACATGTAACAAAGCTTTTCATATGCAACAAAGGTCTCTCCACTCTATAGATGCAGAGTTGTTGTTGTTTTTTTTCAGTAGGAGAGAATAATCTTCTGATAAAACTAAGGTTATGGATTTTATTATTACTTAGATCAATTTGTTCACTAATTTATTTACAAGTATTCTTTGAGGGTGAAGTTCTCATTGGAAAAATAGTGGATGTGAAATAAAGATTTCTTTACATAAAAGCTGTGTACCCTTAGGCAAATTACTAACATGTGCTCTTAATCTCTGCTTGTGTAACTACACAATGAAAGTAATAATATTTGCACCTAATAGGGCCATTGGACAGATTTGCAATATATCTGTAGGTAGAACCAATAAGATTTCCTCCTCATACCTGGATTTGGGGAATGAAGTTTAAGGAAAATAAAAGTTTTGGCTTAATCAAGTGGGTGGATAATGTTGCCATTAAGAATAGCAGTGGAAGATCAAACAAATTAACTTTGAGATAATGTATAGATAGCCAAGTGAAGATGTCAATTAAGGAGTAGAATATATGAATTTGACAGGCTAGGGCTGGAAATATGAAATTGGCAACCATTAGAATATATGTGACATTAAAAGTGTGAGACTAGATGATAGTCTAAAGAACAAAAATAGAAGAGCCTCAAAAATAAGCCCTGAGGTATTCCATGATTTAAGATAAGACAGAAGAGGGCAATGAGTGATAGAAGAAAATCCAGGATACTGTAGTGTAACTAAAGCCAAAAGGGGACACTTTTAAAGGAGGAAGGGAGTAGTTATCTGTATAATATTGGAAATTGTGGGTGACTTTAGAAAGAGCCATATTGATAAAATAATAGTTGTAATGCAAGACTGGAATGGGTGAATGAAAAGAGTGACTGGAAACCTGTGTGTGTGATTGCCAAATTGTAAAAGTCCAGATCCCAGAAAATACAAAAAAAGGAGGGTTTGGCCCAATAATAAATGGTAGCTGCAATAGACTAATCTTGAAACAGTACCTACTCTCTATATCTTGGTTCTGAATCTGACTGATAATCTGGATTTGTAATCTTAATTCTTGTGGTGAACCTAATTTTATAATTATGCTCCCCTTAATGGCCTCTCCCAAGACACTAAAAGCTGCACTGAAAGGGCCTTTCTAAGACCAGGGAGTTAAATTGGTCATAGCCAATCAGGTCAGAGCTAACTGAAACAATTAGAGACAAACATTTTGCATTATTTCTTTATATATTTATAAATTTTAGGCTTAGAGGAGTGTATCACTCTGGTGATTTCCTAAAAAGTAATAGGACTAGATAAACAATATCAGCAAAATAGCAGATGAGACTATCCTTAATCCATCTCAATATAAACCCTTACAAATGTTGAATATAATGCAATACTTTTAAAAGCAGCATGTATTAGCTCACAAGACAAATTCTTTTTTTTAAGATATATATTTTATTGATTTTTTTACAGAGAGGAAGGGAGAGGAATAGAGAGTTAGAAACATCAAGTAGAGAGAAACATTGATCAGCTGCCTCCTGCACATCCTCCTACTGGGGATATGCCTGCAACCAAGGTACATGCCCTTGACTGGAATCGAACCTGGGACCTTTCAGTCTGCAGGCCGACACTCTATCCACTGAGCCAAACCAGTCAGGGCAAGACAGAGAAATTCTTAAGTGTCAGAAGGAAAAATGTTGTTAACAGCCAAAGCAGTAAACATATAAGTTAACCCTCTGGCAACCTTGAAGTGTTACCATACCCAGTAATAACCAGGGGCTGGGGTATTTACATTCACAAAGGGAAAAGAGATGAAGTCTTTGGATCACTTACAATTGGGGAGTTAGACCAAAATTCTTACAAGAAAGCAAGGACTCTTGAAAGGCTGAAATATTAGTGAAATGGAGACTAATAAATTATCTACTATCCCAGAGAAATAGCAAGGAAGCATTGACTAAAATAATATTAATAATGATCTATAATAAGAAAAGTATAATATGCTAATTAGACCAGACAGCCAAATGATCTTCCAGACATCATTCTAGATGTCCTTCCAGATGAAGTTGCGGTTTCAGGGGCTGAGGCAGTTATGGGTGATCAGACAGGCAGGTGAGTGGTTAGGGGCGACCAGACAGGCAGGTGTGTGGTTAGGGGCAATCAGGCAGACAGGCGAGTGGTTAGGGGCAATCAGGCAGGCAGGCAGAATGGTTAGGGGTGATCAGGCAGGCAGGTGAGGTGTTAGGGGAGATCAGGCAGGAAGAGTAGTAAGGGGCAGTCAGGCAGGCAGGCAGAGGTTGTTAGGGGTGATCAGGCAGGTGAGCAGTTAGGGGTGATCATGTAAGCAGGCAAGTGGTTAGGGACGATCAGGCAGGCAGGCAGGCAGAGGGGTTAGGGATGATCAGGCAGGCAGGTGAGTGGTTAGAGGCAATCAGGCAGGCAGACAAATGGTTAGAGGCAATCAGTCAGGCAGGCAAAGGCGGTTAGGGGTGATCAGTCAGGCAGGAAAGCAGTTAGGGGCATCAGACAGGCAGGCAGAGTCATTAGGGCCAATCAGGCAGGCAAGCAGAGGTGGTTAGGGGTGATCAGGCAGGCAGGCAAGGGGTGAGGGGTGACCTGGTGGTCAGTGAACTTCATA